CCTCTCCGGAGACAACGGCGGAGGGTGCAGCCGCCGCCGCCGCCGCAGTAGCAGCAGGGGCAGGAACGGCGGCGAAACCGTCGGGGCCCGAGCCATCGTACAACTTCGGCAGCGACCGGGAGGCCCAGGAGCGGCTGGACGCGATCGCGATGTTCGAGGCCGGCCTGGAGGCACTGCCGCCGCCGCTGTCGCCCGCCGCCGCCGCAGGCGGAGGCATTTCGCCGTCGGACGCAAGGCCGGACGCTGCCGCCGCGTTGGTGGAGGTAGACCCCTCGCTCGTGCTCGTCATGGGGACGAAAGGCAAGCTGAGGAGGATGGATAGAGAGGAGAGGAGCGGCAACGGGGAGTCGTCGTCGTCGTCGTCGGCGGCGGCGGCAGTGAAGCCGGGCGCGGCCGGGGCGGGCGCGGAAGGCGCGGAAGGCCCGGAGGGCGGGGGAGGAGAAGAACAGCGGCAGTCAACGGGGGCGGCGGACTCGAGCGCAGAAGCGCTCGCAGCAGCAGCCGCGATGGCGACTCCAGCCAGCACAGAAACGTTAGCGGTAGCAGGGACGGCGATAGTGAGAGAGGGGAACGGTTCTCCTTCGGACAGAGGGGGCGATGGGGGCGGCGGCGGCGGCAGCGGGCGGGGAAAGGGCTCGAGGGATTGGAAGAGGCTGCCGCTGAGGGGGGGCGGCACGGACGACGGGGGGGCGTGGGAGGCGGCGGGGCGGCGGGCAGCCGCGGTGACGATGCCGGACGTGAGGCTGCTCAACAGGCTCGTCCACTACCTGGCTACTTCGAGCAAGGCTCTGGAGCTCAAGTCGGAGCAGCACCTCAAGAAGGCGTCCAAGGTGTTTGTGTGTGTGTGTGTTTGTGTTTGTGTTTGGAATTGGCGGCGCTAACCGGCTGACCAATGAAAAGACGTCAGTCTTGTAGCGGGATGAGAAACGCGGAAACTCCTTTGTTCAAAGGGTTCCTACCGACGTGTGTTTGTACCATTTGTTGTTGTCGGACGTGATTTTTTATGGAAAAAGTCCTTTTGGTTACGTGTGTAACGAGTGTCATGCCTTGTTGTCGGAATGCCCGGCCGTCCTGCTCCGCTTTCCCCGACCGATAGGGTATGGGGTTGAGAGTGTCCGGGGGAACGGTTCGAAGTTTCAGTTCCGAAAGTGTGTCGAACGTCTCTCTTGTTCATTGGTTGACCAACGTTTACAACATCGAATTATGCGAAAGGTTCCAAGAGAAGAACCAAGTGGGTGGGGCGTGTCCAAGCTGCCCATAGTTTATTCCTCCCTATCATACATCTGTACACTTTTTTTTGTAACCGTGATGAGATGAGATTGAGGTCCATCCACGCAACCGGCACACGACGGAAGGGGGGATAGGCAGGCAGGGACATTACGATCCTCTTTGTCCCGTGTCCCCCCGCTCGCTCGCTCGCTCCCATTTTTGGGGCAGCCAAATCGCGCAGTACTGTACACGAGCTTGTTCGCGGTAAAGAGCCCCAAATTTATTTCAACCACCACATCCACCTTCTACAAAGAGTCATCTACATGTAGTAGTGAGAGCTGTGGTGCAGCAAGGCCTTCAACCGCACAAGCAAGGCGATTTCTGAAAGAACAGGAATGATTTCGCCCCCCCCCCCCCCCCCCCCCCCCCCGCCTTCTCTTCCAACATATCAAGCAGCAGCTGGTTTCTCTCTTGG